CCAATTGACTTAAGCAGTCGACTTCTAGCTAATTTGTCCGATGTTTGAATCCTGCTACACCTACATCAGTCTGTGGAAGTGTGTAGTATTGCCAGCCCTCACGTATTTAGTGTGGCTCGTGACTCTTCCTGGTTCATTATCAATTAAGTATTTTGTAATTTCACTATGAAAGGGATATTAGACAGCTATCATCCTATTCAGCAGTTCATGAGCTAACGCGTTCTTTTGTTTGATCCTGTTTCACCAAAGCTATTCACAGTAGAATAAAAACGATCTTGTAGTGTTCTGTATTATCATTCTTTAATATATTGAATCTTGGAGGAAATTTTTGATTCGCAATGAATTGGAGATAGCTAAGTTGGTCTCTCACAATCTATGTTCTTCTTTCATGGTATCTGTTATATATTCAATACGAAAGCAGCTGTATATTTACCAACTGTAAAATCTACTTTGTTGAACATTGTTCATTCCATTATCGAATGTATGATAAACGAATTCAGCTTTTAGATTATGTGTTTCTGTAGGTACTTGGATTAATTCCACTGTAGATTTCGTCACGAAATGACATCAGTAAAAGATTTACTGGAAATCAGGGAGTATTGGGCGGGTGTCTCTAAATATCGGTCTCCCGCTCACTGGTGGCTACTGGATGGATGCTACACAGTTGTAATGGGAAGTTGTGGCCGGTGGGGTTCACCACATCCTTATGAAATGGATGCTTACCGATGGCATTGGTTCACGTCGGCGCTATATCGCAAATCGATAAAGTTGGAATTCACGGATCATTGAATTCCGGCCTAAGTGACTGAATGGTCAATAAGTTTGACCTTGTAACCTTAAGGTTCTGGGTTTAATCTCTGTTGGGATCGTGAATGGGGATTTCTGAGGGATCCCAAACAAAAGGATGAAACAACTGTCCAGTGCTCCCTGTTTTTCAATGATTTCTACTTGATGTTGGTTCGTGACGAAATCTACATGGGAATTCAGTTTTATATATATCTTAGAAGGTCATATCTACGATTGCCTCATCCTCATATACATTATCAATTGATTTATATAAACTCAAAAAAAGAAAAATTGGTAATCAAAGAGTACTCACTTTTATGACTTCTCATCAAAGTTATACAGTTAAATTGATTTTAATTGGTGGATGGTGACTAGCAGCGGAATCCAGGATGCACATTTCGTCCTATTTTGGACTCCTCTTCTGAATGTACCTGCATTCCGCAGTGAGTGATTCCGAGTCTTGAACCCAGTGTCCATAGTTTCAAATGCCAAAGCATTATCCACTAGACCACTTGGGCTAAATAGGACGAAATGCGCATCCTGGTTTCCACTGCTAGTCACCATCTGCCAACTAAATTCTGATTTAATGCTCAGACATCGTCAAGCATCTGCACAAGAAGCCGAGATGTCAAGACTGAGCACTTCGGTCCAATTAATCGATGGGAAAATCTAAAATAGAATTCAATTAAGTTAAATTGATTGTTTCTAAAGAATCACGGAAAGCGTCAATCAAGGTTAAAATATCACAGTCAGTCGCTACCAAAATATAGAATTGGAAATTGACAAATTTTTAAATTTGATCAAATAATCTCACACAGTCTAGACTATTAAGTGTTGAACAGCACTCAGGAAATATGCTTACTAAAATATTATCTCTTGCAAATGTGAATATTATTCACACGAGGAAGCGATTCGGATTATTGTCAATGTTCTTTTTTAAATGTCATAAGGTTATTTAGCAAAGAAAATCAAAATGGATTATATTATAATTATTGTATAACAGGTTGAAATAAGGTTTAAGGTCACAGTAGTAAAACGGATTGAAAAAAAAACCCTTCTGTATATAGAGTTCAGGTATAAGCGGAAAAACAGTTTGTTCTGTTCTAGTCATTTTCACAGAATTACTTATCATCTGGTTGCCGAACACTTTCAAGTATGAATATTTTCTTTTCAGTTTGATATTATGTGTTTATGCGGTATTTCAGTAGACGAAATACTATGTAGTTGGTGTAGAAGAATTTTTAATACAGATTGATTACTTTTTCTGAAATGAGCAGCTGGCGCGCATCATATCATGTATCACTACTGACTAGCCTAGTTTTGTGCGTCAGTAGTTCAACAGTGGAATACAGGAAATCCGAGCTCGATTCCCTGCCAACACACTCCGAATCCTTTCCTAGTTCAGTGGCTGATAGATAGTAAGACGGGGAAAGAGAAAAGGTTGAGTCTGAGGTTAGCAACCCCACCTTGTGAAAATCACTATTGTCATTACTGAAACTACAAAACGTTTGAAGTCTTATTGTGACAGTAAAGGACGAAAGACTTACCTTCTACATCAAGAAGTTAAGATATTCTGGAATAACCCAACCCTTACTCCTACAATTCGTTAACTCTTGCATTCTGTATATTATTCTCTATTGCTCTCCCTTAGTTTTTCCAGGACTACTGAAGAAAGACTATACTTTATTACGTAGGATGTTAAAGGTTGTCAGCAGGGTAAGCAACGTGCCACTTAACCAGCTTGTTAATATTCTTGTTGACGGGCACTTGAACTCATGTGAAAAATGGGTTAAATCCATTTTATCTGACTCACACCACCCTCTTCATTCACAACTCTCCCCTTGTATCTCATCAGACAGAACCAGAAGCCTATATAGAAAACTATATGCTCACACTAGCAAGTACAAAAACTCAACCATACCCTATTTGGCTCGCTCGTGTTCTGTACGATAAAGAAAGCATTAGGCGTGATACCTATAACTTATTGAATAGTCAGTAGAACAACTGGATCTCATCTTTCCAACTCATATCATTTATAGGTATAACGTCTTCTTTCTTTCTTTTCATTTTCTCTCTCTTTTTTCTGTTATGTGCTGCTTTGTTTCTCTCTTCCTTACAAACCCTATTTAAAACATTCTTGTTCGTTCTTTCACACTCTGTATATCTCGACCTTTTGTTACCGCTTACGCCAGTAAATATGCTACTATCTACTTTTCTAGCACCTTCAAACACTCCGTTTAATTTTGGCTTTGCTACCGATATGCTAATATGTTGTTTGAATAAGGCATTAAGAAGACAAATTTCGCGAGATGATATCATTTCGTAGTTTCTTTACAACCGCTTTACAACATGGTTAACAATGATAAAATAAAGTTCATGAAAATTACTCAGTTAAATAAAAACAAAAGTACATACTAATGACCAATCAAAACTAACTGAGATCACCTTAATCTATGTAGAATTTTATTTATTGTTAATGTACTAACTAGATGCAATACTGTAGTGAAATGCTGAAATTTCCATTCTGTATCACAAGTACTGTTTAGGAATAAAGCAAATTATTATTATTATTTCGAATTTGGTGCCTCCATATGGCCAAATTATTTACACCTTATCTCCAAATCGTCATTTGCATAGATCTTCCGTGTTGTGCTACTTCTGGCCGTCATATTGTGGTTCTTTGTCTTCCTTTCACGTCTCCCATGTACTTCCGCAACACTGTATCATTTGCTTTCTCTGAAATCAAATCTATCTCCCTGCTATCTGGTGTTTTTATGAGGATGACCGACTCTTTATATACTACTGATAAATTTTAATAGCAGCACACGGCATACTTTGTTTAACTGGGAACGAAAGGTAAAAGCATATATTGAAATTTAGTTAGTGACAACAGTTACGAAATAATGCCCAAAATATCCAAAGAAACCAAGATTATTCACTTCCAGTATATTCAAAAACACTTAGAATAAAACTTTCAACAAACTAAAAGAAGAAAAATATCCTACCAAGCAAAGTAAAGTTATCAATGGAACAAAAAGGCTGATCAACCTCTCAGCAAGAGCACTGTACTCTGATGAAATAAAATTGCCAGAAAGAGAGTTAAACTTCAATGTATCTGTTGATAAATTAAAACCTCAAGATGTTATGCCTAAAATTAAAGTTTCATTAAGCGAATCACAGCACAATGTGCGTAGATGCTGAAACAGGATGCGCATTTCGTACTTTTTTGGGACTAGTCAGCTAAATGTACCTCCATACTCCAATGATTGATGGTGTTCCCAACGAGGCTCGAACCCAGTGCCCAAATTGGATGAAATGCGCATCCACTGCTAGTCACCATCAAACAATTGGCTTCAAATCGCATGATCAGACACCGATGAAACATCTGCACAAGGAGACGACATGTGAACCTAAAACCGAGCACTTCGGTTCAATCAATCAACGGGAAAATATAAATTGAATTAAATAATTTAAGTTAATGCCTAGAACTAATAATCTTAATTAAATATATGACACCATTAGAATTCATAAAGCAGGATACCCTATTACCCCAATAGTTGACATTAAGAGCACCCTATCTGATGAGTTTATCTAAATTATTTAGCATCAGTATTATTTCCAATGGAAAAAATAACTAACCTAGTTACTCCTGTCATCGGTGAACTCAATTCAGACTATCCATCTATACTATTAACTTGTCTGACATTCTCTCCTGACGATTTCTTACAAAATAACACTATTGTACTATGAAGTTGTTTGTCTTTCTTAAATTTCGTAAAACTTTCCCCCTTACATTCCGTTTAAATCGATAAATAGATGTATTGTGATTCCATTGAAGACATTCACTGATCTCCTAAGCGCCAACCACATGAAGTAATATTTTCATTCGTGTAAATCTTCCAAACAATAGAAAAGATTTGTAACTCAGGTGGATGATTTGCAATTGATAGTGTTCTCTGAGCTCCTTGGTTTAATTGCGGAGCTCAGAGAACACTATCAATTGCAAATCTTCCAAATTCCGGCATAAAGAAGTGTTGTCAAGACTGTGAAAATGTCTTGACATGAAAAAACCGAAAATAAATATATATCAGAAGTTGCAGCTATCTGTTTGCCATAGTAATACTCTATTTTATCTTATGTCTTATATTTTATCAAGTTTTGCGTGCGCTCACACCAAATTATTATTACCGATCGATGTTTTCGTTTTCTCTTAGGAACGTGAAAAACGATATGTTCTTCCGTTAGATGGATTAAAACAACGCTCTGGTGATACTGGTTTCTTTTCAAAACGACCAACATTTGTTCTGTATCATCCAGATCCTAAAACCAATGTATACAAAGATCATAAAACACTAGATTTATCTGCAGACTCAGAAGAGGCTGTTGAAGCTTGGAAAGCTGCTCTTGTCCGTGCTGGAGTTTTTCATGATCCAACTTCTAAACCAGATGAACAGGTAATTAATGTGTGTAGGTATTCTCTATCCATTGATGTTTTGAAAGAAATTCTCTGTGGGTTTTTTTCTTTCTTGTTTTGAATACTATTTTGTGAGTAGAGCTTATTATAAGGCCACTTTTTATATCTCATACTCATATTTCTAACAAATGATAGCTATGATTAAAGTTGGGCAACGACTCCTGTCGCTCTATACTCTCAACAGCAGATGGTCGAGAAGAATTAGAAACAAGAAACCAATCAAGAGCCTATTGGTTGGCGAATAAGCCGAAGAAAATGAAAACAGATTGGGCACACGTTGAGGAGAGACCGTTGGGTGACATCGCGCTCCAGGCTGTTGAGTGGGACTCAAAGGGGAAACGATGATTTAGGCTTCCGAAGGTGACATGAAGGAGATAATGTGAGAAGGAGACGAAATCTTATGAGCAGTTGTGAAGATATCTGAAGAGAAAACTGTAGAGGCTAAAACAAAATTAAGATGTGCTGTTTAAACCCTATGTTCCCCTCTATCATCCAACTATTCACTTCTTGTAAGTACTAGTGTGACGAGAGCTGTCTGCTAGCAGAAATTTGTAGACAGCAATCCACGTCAATGTTTACATCCCAAATCTTAATCATGAGAAAAAACAAGAAGAAAGCCTAACCTTGTGGAACTGAACAACCAATCACAGTAGACTGCGTGGGCGGACACGATTAGCAGTTATATGGTCTGACCTTCAAAGAAACGGCCACAAAGAGATGACAGAATAACTTTCAGTGAGAAAACGACCAATCAGAAGACACTGTTTCTCTCCTGATAATGACGAATAATAATGTACATGAAAATCTATAAATATCTGTTGATTTTCTCAATAAACGATCTGTTGCCTTGCCCTTGTCTTCTGTCGTTACACAAGATTTCAATAAATCCCAACTGCTCCGAAGGTTTTGTGATTTTTCTAGTCTTCATCTCTTTTAAAACCGTGAGTGCGTTCTGCTTTAAAAGTGTTGAGACCAATCTTTGACTATGTGGGTGTGATCTGTCGGCCTTCAGTCAGTAAGTAGAATTCATTTCATCTTCTTCAATCTGGTTAAAATGCCCCTACCGCCAGGTATAAATAAGAGTAATAAGAAAAAAAGCTTTTCTCAGTTACAAAGATTTTGCTTTATAGAAAATCGACAAACAAAATTTTTATATTGTTAAATTATGCTGATGATAAACAGCATGCCTTTCACTGTGTTTCACTGCATTTAAGACTCCTACTGAAAAAAAAAACCAATCACCTCTAACTATTTATAGCAGATTTTTATAAAAAGACAAAAGGAATGTATCACCACCAGCAACAAAAAAACGAAACAACCTGTCAGCAGCAGTCCTGGCGAAATAATTGATGTGGTGTGTTGAATTATTAGGATTTCAATAATCAATCAATAAGTATGTCAGTTTTAGCAGTTTTCTATGACTGAAAATATTTTTTTTGTTTTCTACCTCATTGATTGATTTATTCACGATCATGTCTTTAAGTGTGATGACATTATTATTATTATTACTGTATACCTATGGAATTATTCTCTAGTCGTTTTACTCAAAGTCACGTGGTTCGCATAGAATATACTCTATTCAGTCACATACTGTGTCACTCGTGATTTTTGAGTCTTCGTATGTGTGTGTGTATAGTTGTGTGAGTACATCTGTATGCGCATACATTACAAAACAGTAATTTTGTGATAGTGCTGGTTGATTTCAATCAGACAGCTGTTAGACATTTAGATGTACCAAAGTATTTAAAAAGAAAGTGATTGATAGACACTATTGAATGCATCAGTTGGTTTACTGGTAGAAGGCTGCTCAGCCGCACAAATGACGCCAATTCGATTCCTATCTGATTCATTCTTAAACCTCCCGGAGCTGGAAAGGAAAGAGATGTTTGAGTGTGAGACAAGTGACTCCACTATCTTGACTTGATAGGTCAATTTTGAAGCTCTATGTCCCACTTGAAATGTAAAAGAATGAACGAGTGAAGTAAGTAGATCATTACAGGGGTGCTAACATGTTCCCTAATGAATCTTGGTCGCCTATGTTGAACTGTCTTATGAATTATTTCTATGCTTCAATGAGATATTGAAAGATAGATTTTAGATAATGCAATAAGAAGACGTAATTTGTATGAGTCATGTAGTGTCTTTGCACAACACATTTCGAACAATCTGATCACACACGGATATGTCATAGTGTAACAACAGAAGACAAGGGCCAGGCAACAGATCGTTTTATTATGAAAATCAACACGTATTTATACATATTTCAGACAACATTATTATAGACAAGCGCAGTCATCTGATTGGTTGTTTAGGTAGACAAACGCAGGCTTCTGATTGGTTGTTTCGGGATTCCTTGACAAACAGAGTTCTCTATCTGCGAATCATATTTTGCCACGTTAACTTCGCTGTGATTGGTTGTTGACTCAGCCTTGTTCACGGCCCATATTAGTGACCTAGACCTTAACGTAGATTAGTGCCAACCAATCGGCTAGCAGCCTGCTCTCACCACACTCGTCCCCCGTCAAATACGTGCGACTGAAGTCGTCTTGATCTACTTGGTGCAGGCGTCATCGTTGGCTTGTCTCGCTGTATCCATTTCTGGAGCTCGCTGACGTTCACGCGCCTCTCCTTGTTCGCCATTGCGACTGTGTCTGCGTAACCCCATCTCGAAGTGACCATATATGGTCCTTCCCACTTTGGAAACTGTTTGCCTGACCCTGTCGAACATTCGTCCATACTTCGGCCCACACCTTCATATGCTGCTTTCGCCCGACCTCCCAGCAGCGTCTCAAGTAGCAGCTCCATCGCTGACAGATCTTGAACGCCACTCAACTGCGCAGAAGCCTTGAAGTCCTGCCCGAAGATCCATATGTCTCCATCAAAAACTGCAGGGTATAGGCTTTTCATTTGTCGGTAGGCAGCGACACCAAATGTAACAACAGAAGACAAGGGCCAGGCAACAGATCGTTTTATTATGAAAATCAACACGTATTATACATATTTCAGACAACATTATTATAGACAAGCGCAGTCATCTGATTGGTTGTTTAGGTAGACAAACGCAGGCTTCTGATTGGTTGTTTCGGATTCCTTGACAAATAGAGTTCTCTCTGCGAATCATATTTTGCCACGTTAACTTGCTGTGATTGGTTGTTGACTCAGCCTTGTTCACGGCCCATATTAGTGACCTAGACCTTAACGTAGATTAGTGCCAACAATCGGCTAGCAGCCTGCTCTCACCACAGAATACATATGAAATTAATACAGCGTTAAGAGGTGAGAAGATAGACTTAAGTCAAGTAAAAAGGACATGTTGCAGGTCTAAATAACAATGAAGATCACTAAACCAAATAATAGAGGTATTAGTACATCTACCCTGACTGGTATAAAATGAGGAATTGTTGCTTTGAACACACAAAGATGGTTTAAACATTCTAATTGCCAGCTAGGGCTTCCACGAACTTTAGGATACGCGTCAAACACGTTTTACAGATAGGTTCAAAAGATGTCTTAACGTCAATTCTATGTCCTGCCTCTATAATATGTTTCGCAATAGAGGAGCTCAGTCTCCTGTTCTCACCGTTGATTGGGTTGTGAAGATTCTATTTGTCTCTGGAGCCACTTAGGGATATGCTCTGAAGCCAGCCCTTACCATTTTATAACTGAGTGTACATCTAGTGTGATGTATCCAATGCAATATATATATATATATATATATATATATACTTAACTGTCCATGAAGCGCTTGAATCACTCTCTACGTTTAATTTCTGATAAAGTTGCCTCAATCACTTCACAGATGACAATTTTATAACATGAGTGTTCTTATAAGAGTAATAAGTACAATTCAGCCTTAGCCTTGTTGCTTGTTTCTTCTATCCTAGTCAGTTAGCTAGTTAGCTAAATCATATGAAGCACATGCATATATATGGTCCTCTCTAATAATTACAGAATTCTTTGCTCTCCTTACCCATTTATCAAGGCTTTTAAAGCTAAGCAGTAAAAAGAATTAATAAATAATAATGTTATAGCTGCCGTTTTGTGCTCAAATGATGCTTATGATTATTAATGCTTTGAAGAAGTATGACTGTTCAGTTCTATATATAGTATATGGAATGACTACTTATTATGATGAGTAGTATTCAACTGAATGATTATGTGTGTGGAATTTTTTTTTTTTTTAAAACCTTTCCATACATAGAATGATGATGGTGATTTGAGTAAGGCAGCAGCTGATCCAAAACTTGAAAGACAAGTGGAAATTATACGTAATCTAGTTGATTCTTACATGAAGATTGTCACTAAAACTCAACGTGACATGGTTCCGAAAATAATTATGCATCAATTAATTAATGAGGTAATTCACCCTTTTTTTTGTTTTTATGTTGTTGAGTTTGCTCCAATAAAAATTCCTGTCACATTTACACTGTTTAGGTATCGTAGTTGAGTTGAGTTTTATTAGTTCGTAATGGAGTGATGTTCTGTAGTGATGCAGTGGGATTTTCCATTACAGTTACCATCGCCTTATATATATCTATATACATGACTGACTGCAAGTAAGTTCTTTTAACGTAGAACTTTACATAGAAGGTCAACACCTCAATTTGCCTACACTTCACGTAGCACACAAAATTGAGGAAAATATCTAAAGGAACTGAAATAATGGGGAAGATTTGTAGCTCAGTTGGATGATTTGCAATTAATAGTGTTCTCTGAGCTGGTTGGTTTAGTTGCGGAGCTTTCGTCGTACTTCTGGACAACATCCACTTTCAGCGCAATATTTAGCATAAAGTGAAATGATTTAAATTTCTTCATGAGTGATATAATTGCGTCTCCCGGTAACTATCTTTACATATGTATTGACCATTTTCTATTGACTTGGATTTTAAACTTTCTCGTCACATGTGATTTACTTTTTATTAGTTGGTATATTGGGTCTATATTAACGTGTTTGCTAATTGCATATTCGTTTGAGTACCAGGCTTCTAGGAATTCCCTGGTACTTTTGGTGTTTCGTCTGTCCAAGATTTCGACATTATCCCAATCAAAACTTAGACAGAGGAAACACCAAAGTACCAGGGGATTCCTAGAAGCATGGTGCTCAAATGAATATGCGATTAACAAACACGTTAATATAGACCCAATATACCAACTAATAAAAAGTAAATCACATGTGACGAGAAAGTTTAAAATCCAAGTCAATAGAAAATGGTCAATACATATGTAAAGATAGTTACCGGGAGACGCAATTATATCACTCATGAAGAAATTTAAATCATTTCACTTTATGCTAAATATTGCGCTGAAAGGGGATGTTGTCCAGAAGTACGACGAAAGCTCCGCAACTAAACCAACCAGCTCAGAGAACACTAATAATTGCAAATCTAAAGGAACTATTATATGGGGGAGGAAAAGTAAGTGCATGAACTCAACAGCATAGAGAACGACCTTGAATTGTATCACCAAAAGTCTTAAGCCACCGATGAGTGATTCTTATCGTCTCGAGGACTTCAGCCAAACAGTCTGCAACCCTTTTCCCCCGTACGTATCTGAAACCAACAGTCATCTTAGACTTCATGGATTGATGCCAACTATTGATTTGACTAACCCTAATCTTATGTTAGCTAACGTGGCTCAACGAAAAAGGCAATGGTTTAGCATATATAACACGTATCCTAACCATCTCAATCGATATAGCTTAACAACCTCACTCTACACCTAACCTCAATAGTATTATGCTACCTAACTCGGGGGATAGAATGCAAACATATAGAGGGTCACGGGAAAGTAGTTTCTTCATATCTTCTGTCTTCACAGCCATAAAGATGGACTGAACGAAAATTGGCACCACTATTCACACCTTTCGACCGATGGCCTCATGTTACATCTACAACATAGACGACGCAAATTGGCAGATGCTACACGAGCTTTATGTATCCGTGCTGAGATTTCGTCAACAAACAGTTCATCAGGGTTTATGCAACTTCCCAGTATAGTGACAGCGTACCACATTGTATCTTCCCGTTGGTTTTTGATAAATATTGTAGGTAAAAACCGCATGTTCTCTGTGGTATTCTTGAGCCTTCTACGGCTCTATTTTCGCTAGAATCGACTTAGACTGAGAAATGTGGTAGAGTATAATCACACAATAGAATGCTTTTATCTGACAGCGAACACAGCAATATACTGTTATTTGCTGAAGACTTCTCGAGCACAGTTGCTTATTCATGTCTTGATTGTATACCTTTTTGTGGTCACTTGCTCACTTACGTTTTGGAGGTTGGCCTAGTTAAAGCTATTCAGTATCTGTTTTCCTCTTAATATCTATAGAGTATACATATATATCGTAAAATGATAAGCTCACTCTGTTTTTGATTGGTAACTATTGTAATGTGTCTAGAGCTATCTTTGGTGCAGACTGAATCCTATTCGTCAAGTTTGCAATGTGGCTACCATGCTGGATGGCTTGCCATCACGATATTGGTATTAGATGGTTGAAGGTAATTGGCAGGAAGCCTTGCTTCACATAGGTTTCGTGCTAGTTGGCACTCACCAGTCAGTCAGCAACCTTGAAGGAAGTCATTTCACTGCACGCTGTTTTTTTTCACATTAGCTAAGCAGTGCATGACATTGAAGAGTGAGGCAATCAGTTTGCAATTCGTTTGTGAAATATATCATATCAGTTAATATTTTCAAATACTTTTTATTTAAATTCCTAGTCATCTAATTATGAGCACACCAGCAGATTCTCTCATTGTCTAATTAAAGCTCATCGACTGACTGTCAATTGTTTGATAAGTTAAATACTTACTACTATTAGTAGTATGTTTTAAAGTAGTTAAATAAGGTGGTTTTTTGATCCCACAACTGCCTTTTTTTCCGTTTCATAATTCAGATCAAAATGTTTTTGAAAGGAGATCTATTACCTGGATTGTATGCTCAAGATCCTGTAAGTCTATGTTTATTTTATTTATTTTCATACTTGAGCATAAATTACCTTATCTATAAAGAAAAAGCAAAATACCCATCGGGTACAAAAAATAGACAAAATACTACAAACATTAGTTGATTAATTGGAATAATGCGGTGAGGTTAACCTTCATTGGCTTTATTGTCTCTACTATTCAACTTTACACCTTTTGAAATGGAAAACGTACAGAATTTGTGCCTGTAAAGATATTTAGAATGAAATATCTTAAAGATATAGCCTACTGAAGCCCGTATTTAGTTCATCTTTCTTTGCATATATAGATTTAGCGTCTATTGGTTTGCTATTATCAGTCATGCCTCTGAAATTAAAGCAAATAAACATACCTTCTGTTGTAGTAGGGTTGGTATGCTAACGGTTGAGTTTGCGTTTCACTTCATTACTGAGAGTTTTGTTTCTTCCAATCTTAACTGAAACCTAAAGTAAATAGTGGCTGGTAAACATACCAGGCCTTAGTCAATACTCACGTAACCTAAATGTTTACTTTTGAAGTGTATACACACAAATTGTCTATGTTTACACTATTCATGCTCTAGTGTTTGTACATGTGTGTGTGTGCGTGTGTCTACATGTCTACACTAACACTGATATGAGACCAATAACTGCTCTGATTTTATCTGTTTTTTCTTTACTAGTTTATTTTTATAGAATATAGTATGTATGCCCTTATACACATTCATAACTGGTCAACAATTCGCTTTCGGAGTGGATATGAAAAAATAAACTCTGAAATGCTCCTAAAAGTGTCAAATAAATCATGAGCGAACATGGATAAGTGGGGCCTGTGGTTCAGAGGTAATCAAAGTGGTTCGACCTCCAACCCTTGGGTTTGAAACCCTCTCACCTACCAAGGTGTAGGTAGCCAGTTAGTATCATTACTCCGCAGACAATAAGTGTAACTCATTGCCGACTGCAGGTGATTGCCAGTGGTTGTCGAGTAGTAAATATGGATAAATGCGCAGATCATTTAAAATTTTGAGACAAGTTCTATGCATATCTAATACTCTTTATGGGTGAATCTCACAAAACTCTACAAAATCGTCGGTAATTACTTTAAACATGTTTCATACCATATAGTTGTGTTTTACAGTTCTCCTTTCAGCGTACATTTGAAATATGGACTACTGTACAGTCTGACTGATGAGTAGTAGGTATCGTGTTCAGCGTTTTAGTAAAGAAAGAAAGGAACTAAAACTCAACAAAGATTTGTTTAAATTAAGCTTCAGACGCGTGGAGATAAAACTGGAAGTTCAGCCAATGACATCTTTATCATGAAGCCAAATTAAATATACTTACTGCAGTGATGAGGAAGACTTATAGCTCAGACGAATGGTATCAGCATAGCTGTGTTCCCTGAGCTAGATGGCTTAACTGCGAAGGCTGCATGAACAGATACTCTATGTTCATTTGACTACATCCCATTTTAATAATACCTACTGTGTGGTTGCGTACTACTGAACACATTTCAATGACAAAATATTTGACGTTCAAGGGTGACATGGAGGAGATGGTGTGAACAGGAGTTGAAACAGTATGGACTAACATAGATGCAGGTGAAAAGTACAGCAGAAGGAAGACAGAAACAAGTGGAGACGTGCAGTTGAAGCCCTATGTTCTACTAGGAACCCAAGGGAACAATAATAATAATAATTTATTTTATTCGGAACTAATTTTGCTGACGTCAACGGACTGTTTTCCACTAGTACCGTGCTTCTAGTTCGATTCCTCTCCTAGTTCTTTTTTCGGTTTAATCCTCAGTCATCACTAATTATCTAAAACTGTGAACTTGACTTGTTGTTGACAAACAGAGTGACAGATAGTTTCTCTTGAGTGCTACTTTGAGAAAATTGGACATATATTTATCATTTTTCTATGAACTCCCATGTAACGAAACAGTAAAACTGAAATTGCTCATAGTTTTAGTGGAGTGAATTATGAAAATATGAGATAAAAGAGGTCCAACATTTTCACTTTGACAGAGAATAATTTCTTGTCATTTTGTTTACTTGGTAAACCACTCGTCTTTGCGAAATTGCTTCTGCGCTGATAATTCAAGCACAATTTATTAGTGAAATAATAATGTCAAGATAACCACAATAATTCACTGATTGACTACATTGTTCTCTAGCTTATCTCTGTAGTTAAACTGTCTTGCACATAGGGAAAATAACCAAGAAAATTCGAGAGAAAAGAACAAAAATATGAGCAAAGATCTGTTTTTGACAACGTCATCCTCAAAATCAGCTCTACAATCTCAATTTATATATATATATATATATATATATATATATATATGTTATACACTGCTGCTGAGTGAGTTGATAAAGTTTTCCCGTCGTCAATTATGTTATGTACTCGTCGAGTAGTTAATAGTCCTGACGCAGAAGAGAGGGAAATCAGAAGACCACCAGGTTTACGATGATACTTGTATTTTCCAGACAAGGAAAATAAATGTCACACTAGTGTCTGAGTGAAATGGTACGCAATGTACGAAACGTGGGAACAGGAATGAACAAGAATAATAAAGCAAGAGTATATATGAAAATGGCTAATACACATGAACCAATAAGATGACGTCTTACCATAATTGGTTGTAATGTCATGTGATAATAAGGTCATACATTGTTTATTTAGTTAGTGGTCAGACAAAAGCATATTGTGAGTTATGATGAAATATCGATCCATATACCCAGAAATAGACTGTCAAAAACAAAACACACATCATGTGGATACATATCAATAAGTCCACATAGTTACGAGTATTATTCAATTCAAAATTGTAACTAAGGTAGATTAGAGACGATCTACAATAATAATTTTCAAATGAATATAAAAGTTTAAAGGTGTGAATATAGATCACAAAGGATATAGAAACAAAATTAATTGTACTAGAAAATGGTTGCGTAATACGTAGAGTTTTCTGATGAAGACGATGCCAATGGAATATGCATAGAAACAAAATGAAATAATTATCTTGTAATCGAAGATAGAAAGGAAAATGAAGAGAATGAAAAGATAAACAAATTAAAACTAAGGAGTCAAATGGAACTAGATTCTTTTTGAATGTAGAGGTTGAACTAATTCCTTTTGAACACAGCTCCGACTTCTTGATGCATATGGTGAAGGTTTCTGCATTACAAAGTCGGGAAGACACTGCCTTTGGTAGATTTTGTTCACTTTGTAAGTGACTTTGATGATGAATCAATTGATATCCTGTGACAAGTGCTGACACACTTTCCAGTTAAAGCTCTTCTGATTGAACCACTGCCACCTCTTTGCAGATATTCTGAATAGCGTTCTGGAATACTTTTTGAAAGGAGGCGCATAGAATGACCTATGTGCCTAGTTCCACTAGCAGATGAATTGATACATACACATTGGTGCAGTCATATGCGCAAGTTTTTCTTTCAAACTGCTTATCTTCCATCATTACTATGTTAAATAATAATTGCAGTTATGTAGACTTGTGTATAAGAACGCGATTGTACCGCTATTGTGGATGAAATTGTCCATAGGTATATTTACTGAGCTTCTTATTATTTGCTTTCTAATGCCCTGATGGGTATTTTGTAGGCTTTTAACAAAGAGTCGCGCACTACACAAGATATGCAGTATTTATTAAACGATTCATCAGCGCACATACATATTCAACTCGTAAATACTTCATGAAATAATCTGATTATTTCTCTCTTGCTGATAATTGTAATAAGGTTATCTAACATAAAGACTGACTGACTGATTGGTTTCAACAGAGAACTTTACATGGATGTCCATCAGTTCGAGTTGCCACACTCCCACCATGTACCACACAAAGCGAAAAAAGAGAGAGTAAATGGAGGTTCAAAAGGCAGAAGTGAGAGGGAAAAAGAACAGTAATATGGAAAAACGCTAGAGTTTTATTTGATATGACAATTCATGAAGAGTGAATGCATCTGTACCAGCTGTTGAGAAAGAAGTTGAGTCATATCATTAATTATCTCCAGCCATTGGTTTTACCATCCCGAGGACCTCATCCAGGAAGTCTACACCTCCCTACGTGACTGACTGGCTTAAACTAACTGTTGTGGATTTCATTGAATGATGGATTCATATTTTGGTTTGACCACCACTAGTTCTTTTCCAACCTGAGCTGTCCTATGTCAGCTGACATTGTCCGTCGAGGAAGGCGATGCTCAGGGATGCGTAGCACATGTCCTAACCATCTCAATCTGTGTAACTTCACAACCTCATCTATTGATTTCCCCTCCGTACCTAGCACTCGGCCGATACCTAACCTCAATATCGCTCACCTAATTGTACCACTTAACACAGGAGACGTAACGCAGGCACCTATGATCAAAAACAACTAGCCAGGATTTTCAAGTCTCCCACTTTCAATGGCCAGGTCTCACGGCCAGCCATAAAGGAACACGGTGCTAACTGTTGAGCAGTAAACACGCATTTTGTTCAACAGTTGGATATCACATCAACGCCAGAGATGGCGTAATTTGGTATATACCACACGCACATTCTGTATCTGTGCTGAGATTTCGTCAGCGATCAGCCCGTTGGCGTTGGCTGATGCAACTTCCCAAATAAGTGAAGTGGTCAACACGCTCTACCACTACACTGCCTCCTCATCTTCAAGCTAAGAACAAGTCGATGTAGTCCAGTCCTGCAGTGTCATCTTACATTTAGCGGGAGCGAATCGCATGCCAAACATTCAAAGATTGTTGCTCAAAGTGTTCAGTAGACTATGCATTTTGTCAGCGTCTTCACTTAGTTATTAGGACCATATCTTCTTCATTTTCTAAGTCAACGAGATTACTACCTTGTAGGAAATCAATCCCTGAGTCGCTAAAGTCAATTAGGGTTAAAACTGATACAAATGTATGTAGTCAGTCTACCATGGAATCGTCGATTAACAATTTCACAGATTTCCGGAAAATAAGAGAAAATTGTCAATTGTTCTCTAACAGAAGTTGGTTTTCAACAAAAGTCCTTTCTTCATGCTAATCAAATCCTTAGAAGCCAAACCACTGAAAAATTAAAACTTTATTTAGGGTTTCTTGTTATCGATTTCTGAAATCAGTACAATTGAAGCTCGTTGTTTATGTTGTTATATTTTGATATTGTAAATTACAGAATAATCTAATGGAGGAATCAGCGGCTGAAAAAAGCATCGTGAAGAAATGATCCGTATGTATGATGCAATACGCGAAGCCTTATCAGTTATATCGGAGGTTATAGCAAACACGCATAGTGTCCCATTACCACCACCGGTTAATGATGATTGGATAGAAACAGTAAGTGTGTGTTCACGTAATTTGTTATATATTCACCGTTGGTTCATTAGATCAGGCATTTAATTTCCGCTTGATAAATAGGTCATAGGTTCGAATCCACCTTCACATACTAAAGTTTTGATAACTAAGTAGTATTGAAGCGACAGAAGACAAGGGCCAAGCAACGGATCGTTTATTGAGAAAATCAACAGATATTTGTAGATTTTTATGTACACTACTATTCGTTATTATTGGCAGAGAAACGGCGTCTTCTGATTGGTTGTTTTCCTGCTGAAGGTTATTCTGTCATCTCTTTGTGGCCATTTATTTGAAGGTGTGACCATATATCTGCTAATCGTATCCGCCCACGCAAAGTCTGCTGTGATTGGTTGTTGAGTTAGTCTTCCTTCTCGTTTTTTTCTCGTGACTGAGATATGGGACGTAAACATTGACGTAAATTGCTGTCTACCAATTTTGGCCAGCAGGCAGCTCTCACGACAGTATCATTAGCCTACTCGTACAGTAGGTGTATTTCACCGTTGAGTGGCAATGAAATTTTTCTATTTCTCACATCACTTTGGGTTCTATGGGCTATAATAAACCAACTATTTGAAACAGTCGTGTGAATCGTTCTCTATTCGGTTGACGTGAAAAGTCTGCATCCTACCTATATGTGTTGATTTATGACAAACTTAAAATACTATCACCAACAGAAATGATATTTTTCTTCGACAGTTAACAAAAGTAACAGTTATAATGTAACTAGATAATATTTACCTCTTCTCATGATTGGAAATGTATTGAATAATACTGCTTCTATATGTTTTATATATATATATGTATATATATATATATATATATATATATATATATATATATATATATGTGAGGGACTTCAGTGCAAAGGCTGACTAATTAGCACACCAGAAGAGAGTAAATTATCATAAGAGATTGCATCCCTATAGTTTCAGGTATCGCTATTGTTCATTTTACCAACAGTTCAAAAGCGACTATCATCATGTATGCGAATCTTCTTCATAGCTTCTTATTGTCTGTAACGAGAAAAGCTGTTGAAACTTGAATTGTGTGAAGTGATAATTTTCAGTTTTTGGCTACAAATTAAGTGTTCCCAGTTTCCGGTTTTTGTTAATTCCACTGAGTAACAAAAATGCAATCACAGTACAAATCATGAGTAATGTCGAAGTGGTGCAAAATAAACGTTTGCATACTGATAGGAGAAACAAGCCATGTATTGATCATATCGCCACACTACGGATCATCATTGAACAAAGCTTAGAATGGACGTCAGTCAGCTGTCTATCTCAGCTTCATCGACTTTGAAAAGGCCTTCGACAGCGTCGATCGAGAGATCATTTGGCAACTACTTCGCTACTACGGGGTGCCATCGACAAGTATACACCTCATCCAACAGTTATACGACAATGCTGCATGCCAAGTAATCCACAACGGGAAACTTACGGAATCCTTCGAAGTGAGGACGGGAGTGAGACAAGGCTGCCTACTATCACTATGATTTTCCTGATTGCAGTAGGTTGGATAATGCGACAGACAATGGAAAATGAGGAAACAGGCATAAAATGGACTCACACAAAAAGAGACTTGGATGGTCTGGACTTCGCCGATGATATATGTCTGATTTCCCACAAACTGGAAGATATGCAAGTGAAATGCAACAAGTTGGCGGAAGAAGCATCAAAGCGAACATAGATAAAACAGAGGTGATGAAGATTCCTGGCCAACAGCAACAGCAACAACAACAGACAACGATCAGCCAGCATAAGTTGGGGGGGAATCTGCAAAAAGCAACATCCTTCACCTACCTGCCTGGGCAGATGGAACTGATGAGGATATCAAAGCTAGGATCATCGGGAAAGCAAGACAAGCTTTCATTTCTCTCAATTCTGTGTGCAGATCAACATCACTCCTCAGTATGAAAAATAAGATCCGGATTTTCAACTCCAGTGTGAAGTCAGTGTTACTTTATGGATCAGTGACTTGGCGCGTCATGAGGATCACTTCGAACAAACTACAGAACTTCATCAACAACTGTCTTCACTCAATACTGAAGATGAGATGGCCAGAAATGATCAGCAACAGAGATCTCTGGCAATGAGCGAACCAACCAGGAACCGATTGTGAAACAAATAGACAGGAAGAAATGGAAATTGATTGGCCATACTCTGAGGAAACAAACCATCAAGTGACATCACTAGACAAGCCATCTCTCGAGTGGAACCCGAAAGGGAAGCGGCGAGTTGGTCGTCAGTGTGAGGGTGACTTGGAGGAGGTCATGTGAGGAGGAGATGAAAGCATGTGGACAGACTTGGAGCGGGGTGAAAAAGTTGACAGAAAGCCGAACTCAATGGAGACGTTTGGTTGAAGCCCGATGTTCCTCTAGGAATTAAAGGATATAATAATAATATAATGCTGATAGGAGAACCTCTTTGACACTGGATTCATCTTATTTCATTGGATGGAGGATTTCATAATGAGCTGACAGCAGTTAGAGAACCACTGGAAAACCTGCAGGGAATACTGGACAACTAACTGTTTCGTCCTAATCTCGGACTCTTCATCGGTACGCACCCACCGAGGTTCAAACCCATCTTATTTCACTTTCACAAGTTGGACATGATAGATAGCTAGTTGTGTGTTCATTACAAACAGATTATCCTAATCTACGACTGTCTGCCATAAATTGCATAAAAACTCTAAATGCCCAAATAGAATACAGGTGATAGACTACAAGAATAATAGTGAGAGGGGAGAATTCATCATCTTTCTTCATGGAATAAAATTCTCTTTATTTATTTCAGGAACCCTCGTCAGGAGCAAACAACAATCGTCGACCACACGCTTCTAGTAATGTGTCTTTACCTGCTCTTTACCCTACTCCATCGAGAGCTTTAACTCCTAATAACAACAGTTCTAATCCTTCCAGTCGTCCTATACCATCTAGACCTGCTCCAAATTTACCCATGCGCCATACTTTGAACCCTCCGACAATAGTGACTACAGCTCCTGGTCAACTTCCTACTCCGCTTCTCCCTCAGTAAGTTGCTTTTTTTATTTTTAATGTTTGTTGATTTTCATTTCAATTCTCTCAGTGTCAAGTATCCCTGTCAATATCTTAATTGTAAATTCTTGTACCGGTTTACCTGTGTTGATGCCTCGATGTTACTTCGTCATAGGATAGTCCGTTAAAGTAAAAGTGTAATAAATTAAGTATCGTAGGTTAATCATTCATTTTTGGCGTTAATTAACTTGTTTAAATAGTCGAAGCAGTTTCCGGTTTCATTGTGTATACTTCATTATTATTATTTGGGGCTTCAACAGCACCTCCCTATCTCATCTAGTTCTCTACAGAACTTTTTATTTGGCTCAACGATTTCTCATAAGCTCTTGTCTCCTCACATGATCCTCTCCACGTCACTCTCGTACCCACTCCCAATGCGTCGTTTGGCATTCGGGCCTCACTCGAGACATCTCACCCGGTGCCTCCTGAGCGTGTATCCGACCCATCACCCTTTCTTTCTGCATATTTGATGGCGATACGTTGTGGGTTGATTTTTTGTCAGATTTACTTGCTGGCTGCTTATCTTTTCCGGCCATCTGGTCTTCAGTATAGAGCGAAGGCAGCTGTTGATGAAATTCTGTAGCAGTCTGTTGGAAGGAAATCCCTCTGGCGACGTGCTAAGTCTCTGAACCATACAGAAACACCTATCAACTTGAAATCAGTGAGGAAAATTCACCTGTTGTCCCTTGTGCTGAGTGCAGTAGCTGTACAGACTGATTTCAGACTAATGATTGTATTTTATACCATTTTGAATGTACGTGTGGACGCACACCCATACATAGGGAGGACTGACTCATGGATCTCTGCAAGTAAGGGCTGGCTTCAGAGCATATTCCTAAATGGTTCCAGAAACAAATAGAGTCTTCACAACCCAATTAACGGTGAGAACAGGAGACTGAGCTCCTCTATTGCGAAACATATTATAGAGGCAGGACATAGAATTGACGTTAACACATCTTTTAAAGCTATCTATGAAACGTGTTTGAGAGAGGGCATATCCTTAAAGTTTGTGGAAGCCGTAGCTGGCAATTAGAAAGTTTAAACCATCTTTGTGTATTCAAAGCAACAATTCTTTATCTCGCTAAATCTTGATTGGTAAACTTTGTTTTGATACCAGTCAGGGTAGATGTACTGATACCTCTATTATTTGGTTTAGTGATCTTCATTGTTATCTTGACCTTTAATATGTCCTTTTAACTTGACCTAAGTCTATTTCATATGTATTCCTACGACAAGTCCATGTGTGATCAGGTTGTTCAAAATGTGTTGTGCAAAGACACTACACGACTCAGATAAATTACGTCTCCTTATTGCTTTGTCTAATGAATATCTGTCGTCTTGCCTTTCCAATCTTGGATTTGACATCTTAATCTGTTCTGCCTGTAGTTGAAACGGAGCTGCCTAGATAAGCGTATACATTTACCAAACAAATTTTGTAGTTGTTACTAAATGAATATATTTGTTTTAAATAATAAAATAAAGGAGAATCTGGCTAACGGTAATGTATAACTATTCCGATTGAAAGGAGTAAACCATTTTCCGTGTTAGTAAACGGTTTAGTGTTCAGAAATGCAATGCTAATGTCGTGAGTGTGTTTTTTTCGACTTGTCATGTCAATGACAACCGCTTAGTTATCTCTGCTTTATAATCAAACTAATCTCCGATTTAGATTTCCTCCTTATCGATAGATATTCGTATGAATATTTTTAAAAAAAAAACACCAAATGGTATTTAATCGTACGTATAGAGATAGACTTGATTTGGAAATTGGTCTTTATACTTAATTGGGTTTACATAGACTAGTAGTCAGTGTGTGAGACATTAGATCAGCATCTCGGATTCCCACTGGCTTCAAATGTCGTACAGCTTAGGTTTCCCTTCAAATCCATGCCTCAGAATGTTAGCTCTCCTTTTTGGCAACATTATTATTATGTAACTAACAGGCTAGGAAATAAAATACCTATTGTATTTTAGCTTCCATTAGTGTTAGAATTTTAGAATTTTTATGAAAATCTTTCAGGAAGTTGATTTTCGTGTCTAATGGCGGTTTTACATCAACATTATAAACGAAAGTTATTGAGTTCAGTGCGATATGATAGGATTTTTTCGTTGTCTAGTTTGTTCTCCTATTACGTTCTAATATTCTTCATAATTTTTCCTTGGTATTTGATATGATCATTATAATGAATTAAAAATACATACTTGCTGCATAAAGGGCATCAAGAGATGTTCCACACAGATTTTTTTGCGGTGGCTGGAATACTGCTCGAGCAGGTGGTTGTCTTAAAGTTTTAAAGTTACCCCCGGGCATTTGACCTGGAGTCTAGCCCATAAGGTGATGAAGAGGCGTTAGGAGCTACAAGCCTATGGTTACTGGTGTCCTGAAACCACATTCAATCCAATTGAATTCTTGTGCCCATGAGTACCATAGATTTGGAATCAGGGTTTTGCGGCTTCTCTAAGTAGATCCACATATCCATGAGTCTGTTTGTAATCTCCAGACGTTCGCATTTCACTGTTATGAGGAACACCCGCGTGTCATGAAAACAGTGAGCAGGACTTACCTTGTAGATGCTATGGAAGCGTAGCCATTTGAAAGCACTTTGAGAGGAAGACCGAAATCTACCCAGCCCTGACGGTACCAGGTTATTTATGGCGGCTGGTCTTCGGTACTTCAGTTAGCAACACAAATTCAGAGAATAGTACTTCAGATAACGACTAAGGTAGTAGCTGTTATTTTAAAAATTACGCAATACCACACGGTAATCATGAATAGATTTCAAAAAGTCAGGATAAAACATTTTTTCTGTCGATCTATGCCAGTCTGCAAAGTCTGTGTATGTTTCAGTTTTTCTCCTACTGTGCCTATTTATCTCAGTCTATGCGTCGGTGGCACAGTGGTCAGAGGACTCTCGCCGACCATATACATGGTCCGGGGTTCGAGCCCACGCCGACGCACACCTGATATCTATGGTCGGCCTGTGAATTTCGGGCTACCGATATCCACGCTGAAAATTCCACACTTGTCCCAAAAATACAGTGTGGAATCAAGCTGTAATAAAAAAAAATCATAGTAATCGAAGTTTTTTCGAGTCATTTTCATCCTTGGAAAATTCGCTTCTTTCTACAGTATTTTCTATCTCTCTTTGTTTATCCCTATTTTGTTTGCACACACACCCTACCACTGATGTGTATGTTTACGAGACCTATTCATTATCTCTTATCTGCCCACCCACCTCCCATGCTGTATGCCACAACCACCCTGAGACTACTAGTAATTAAGGATGTTGAAAACAATAATCATAATAATGTTGATAATATCTAGTTATATGCACAAAAACGCAGTAAGGGATCACTGATAAAATCCTTTCAATCCTTTACCATAGTTAGTTCATAGAACAAGTTATAATAAATATCAGAAGAGAGAGAGAGAGAGATACGTATTTTATTCTATTCACTGTGAAGGCTTTTCTCTTCCTTCAACAGTAGAAAGAAAATACGTCGTTCTACTGGATAAGAGTTTTGCCTTACAAAAAAGAGGCAAATTGTAAGAAGCATTTTTGTAGAGAGAGAGAGAAAAGAAAATCAGGCTACTACTCCATACTGTTTCACTTTTGATTGACTTAAACTGCTTAAAAGGTATGTCTCACAGCAGTTTGCCTATTGTGTTACATATATGTGTATATATGTATAGACAACAGACATAATCACTTTATAGTGTGGCAAAAAGAAAGTGGAAATCACTAGGGAGGAGAACAGCAAGTGGTATTATTAGTTTAGAAGAAGAAAGTGATTGAAACTTAGTGACGTCATACTTTACGTTACCTGATTTAGACTTCCTCTTAGATAGGTAATAATAATAATACACACATTTTCCTTTCAGTGTGGATTTTTATAAGAAAGCCGTGATTAATTAGACAAGATTTAATCAAAAAAAAATTCAGTCAGTAGTTGAAATGGGATTCATTATATATATATATGTATAATCCAAACCATTTGATTAGTAGAGTTGACCTGACTTGTTGATTTCTTGTTCATTAGATGATCAGGTACACAAGTTTCACCACTCTTACGTTGAAAGAACAGATTTACACCACTCTGGAGAAAGGGGGTTAGAAAAAGTCGACTCCAAAAATTGTACATCCGTAACCCGCGGTAAGTTTACTAATACGGAAACAACTAAGAAACCAGTTCATACAGACCGTATGTGACCGGCCTTAAGTAGTTGTCCCCTGGGCTCTACAGTCACCCAACACTAACCCTCTTTCTAACTCAAGTACCCGAAGAATCAACCAACTTCCATGGTGTGGGCATCTGGGGAGTAACAACCGCCCACACACTTCCAAAAGCACACGAAGCCTTCCTGAGCATCATTTTTGTGAATTACTTTTTATGTGTTCGTATTTGTTTGTATGTATGGTTATTGTGCACTTGCGAGATCACGAGAGTATTTTAAACTCTTTACTTTTTTCCGTTAGATATAAAGTGTGTATCATTCTTGCTTTACATGCTTTTAAAAAGATTACTCAAATATTCTTAATTAAATAAGTACTGCTGTTTTTATTTGTTTCTTTGTGTGTGTGTGTGTGTGTGTATATGTAGTCGAATGCCTCAGTACAATAATGGTTTTTCACAAAGTGCAAGTACTGGCCATCTTCCGGGTACTATATCTTCAGGGGGTACTAATAATTCGAATATGTTAAATAGTGTAACAAATGGCTCAAATCCAAATACACCATGGATTGCTTTTGATCCTCTTTTCAATCAATCACAGTCTGGAACAATAGCTCCGCCGATCCCTCCACCAAAACTTACTTCATTATCTGGTAATCTTGGACATCCAACTATACCAGAGTAAGTTGTGTTTTTATGTTCTTTTCCAGCAGTAAACTAATAAACTAAATATACATATTTTTTAATAGTTGTAATTAACAACAATGAACGTCGCATTGATTTTTTTACGGTTACGATACTTATGACAAAATAATGCTTGTTAAAGAAGCCAAGTTAAACTTAAAGCACCACTAACTACCAATCAGCGAATGACATCGAATGTTCCAATGAAGTTCATTCACGTGAGTTCAAGGTTGTATAGCGCTTGATTCGTATCAAACAAAGTTACCCTTGCAGTTAGATGAGGATAAATTTTTTCAGTATTGCTTGGATTTCGGGTTGCTTAGGAGGGAGGGATATTGCCTCATGGAAAATGGAGAGAATTACCTCGTTGTTAGGCGAAGAAGGTATCGTCGTGTACGTTGGCGAAACTGTGTTACTGAAGAAAAAATACAACCGTGGTGGTGAGCGAGCCAACAATGTTTGGGTGATCGGTTTATATGACACTTTCCTGCGGAAAAGGTTCATGGAGAGAAAAGCAGACAGAAAGTCTACTACCTTAGTACGTATTGTCACTCGAATTGTGAAACAGGGATGCATTGTACATACTGATGAACTGAAAGGTTATAACTTGCTGTCATCTTTAGGATATATTCATCACAAAGTGAACCATTCCAGAGATTCTGTGAATCCAGTTACAGAGACACACGAATTCTGCAGAAGGATTACACGGAAGATTAAAAATTAGGATAAGGGCTATAAATGGATCTCATTTATGGTCATTTGGATGAATATATGTAAAGAATGTGGCGTAACATTTCTGTTGACTTTCCTATGCTAAACTGAGAGATATTTCTGTCACACGTTAGAGAAGGATACTCTACGTAACAGTTTTATGTTGTTTTTATGCTTTTTTCCAGAAATATACGTTTTCCTTAATCAAAAGACCCTCTTTCTTGTGATTGGTCCGTTGAAGGTCGTTCACTGATTGGCAGTTACTGGTGCTTAAAGTTTAACTTTGCCATTCAAGAATATGAGTTGTGTCCAACCTTGAAAAAGTATTGAACATTGGGCCTTTGTCTCAAATACAGCTGAGATGAAAGAACTGAAGAATAGTAATACGAGTTTCGTGTCACCTACCTCCGGAATACACCAGCCCTAACATCAAAATACTTAACAAAGTTCGCATACTTGAATTAGTATACCTTTGTGCTTCTAACTAACCAACGGAAAACGATAGATATGTATGGTTATTATATCTGATATAACTGATTATTTCTCTCACAAAGTGCTGAAAGGCTTATTGTATATTCTGTCAACTTACACAGATATGAATTAATGATTCGTTATGAACAAGTAGTCGACTTCTGCACGATTTTCGTTATTATTGTTGTTCCTTTGGGTTCCGAATATCTCCGTTTCATCCTGTTCTCTGTGGTCAGCTGAAGAGGACCGCAAAATTGCTCATAGTGTCTCCCTGGACGCCCAACTCACCGTTTCCCTCCCGGCTTCCACTCGACGACCTTGTGTCCAATGTCACCCAACAGTTTCCTTAGCCTTATATCTGATTGATCGATCTCCATTTTCTTTACCGTATTTGTTGGCCAATGTGTTCTTGGTTAGTTTATTCCAAGAGTTATCTGTTGGTATTTATTCTTTTTGGCCATTTGATCTTCTGTGTGGGGCTAGTGATGTCAGTTGTTGATAAAAGTCAGAAGCTGGCTGTTGGAGATGTTTTTTTATTACTCATGAAGAAGAACTGAGTTAGCATTGGTGTTGAAAATTTGAATCTTTTTCTATATGTTGACTGTGGCAAATTTCCAAATTGACTGACAACTTCATCTGTGCCGTTGCCTGTAGTTGGAATGATACTGTCTAGAAAAATGAAGAAAGTTACCTCTCTCAAATTTACCTCATTGATAGTGATTAGTACTTGCTGTCGTTAGGTGGTTATCTTCATCACTTCCGTTTTCTCTGTGTGTGTGTTCACAGCTGAAGTCTTGTCTTTGCTGCTCACCCATTCTACCACTTTGTTGGTTTTCGCCTGCAAGTCTTCGAGTTTGTGTATTATTAGACATAAATCATCCGCAAAGTCTAGGTCCTCTAGAGTTTTCTTATATCGGTCAGTGCAACGTATTCCTGTCTTCTCACTCCTCATGTACGGTGTTCCGTATGTGGTCAGAGCTGGCTGTTAGTCAAAATTGATGGACAGTAATTTACGTCAATGTTTATACCCCCCAATATTGGTCGTGAGAAAAATGAAAACAAAGGCTTTGCGTGGGCGGATACAGTTAACATATAGATGATCTGACATTCAAGAAACAGTCACAAGAGATGTAAAGTTACCTTTCTGTGAGAAGCAACCAATCAGAACTCTCTATTTTTCTGCTAACAATAATGTATAATATGTACATGAAAATGTATAAATATATGTTGATTTCCATAATAAACGACCTGTTGCCTGGCCCTTGTCTTCTGTTGTTACACGTATAACGCAGCCCACCACAATTAGGAATATCACAGCGATGATGGTATAAAAAGCCTTGTCTTACTTACTCCTGTCTTCACTGTAGACACTTCGCTGAGTTTTCTGTTGTGAATCACTTGGCATGTGACCTTATCATATAGTTGTTGAATGCGGTTGATGAAGATTTGCGGAACTCCATAATGTTACATTAGTTTCCAACTCTGTTGGAAGACCTTTTCAAAGTTGATCTATCTAGAGGTCTGACTGTCATTCTACGCCCTCTTCAGTGGTAATGCATAAAATATAGTACTTCTATTACTTAGAAGTTTAATTGACAGGCAATAGTTAGTCTTGGTTCAGTCGACAAATGTCTGACTTATGCTTCAATTTTTAAACGATAATACCCAGTGGAAAACTGTCGCTAAAAACTTTAATAATCCTCTGGTAATCCCAATATTTATCCTTCATCTCTATTGTTCCCTGTAAATTAACTTTGTTCTCCTCACCTTGTCTGTTTTTCTCTCTTCTTGTTTTCTTCTTCATTTAATTTAGACGTCCAGGTACTACTGGTATGCCTCGCATTCCCCCTCGGCCGACTTCATAAATCAACATAACATAACGTCTACATTATAAATGCATATTAAATTGCCTTTTATCATTATGCAAATTTCAGCCTGATTTCCTGTTTTTCTTTTTCTTATAAAACAAACAGTCTTTTATGTAAGATACTACTTAAATGGCCTTAAATATTTGTTTGTGTACACATACTGCCACCAGTCAATGGCTGTTTTTTACTTTTATTATTATTGTTGTTGTTACAGTTTCAAGCAGAAGTTGATTACCAGTTGGATCTCCCTCTCTGTGTCTCTCTTTTTCCAAATTTGCGCTTTCCTCTCCCTCCACTCCCCCCACCCACCCCTATCTCATCAATGCTCAAAAAAGAAATGAAAATTGTGCCTTGGAATAATTGGCAGTGTAGTAAGCCTTTCTGGTGTGTGTAAGCCACACCTCTCTATCTCCTGGATGAATGAACGAATGCATGTAAGGAGAACACTGCCTTTTTACTGCTTTTTACTGACTATTACTACTGCTCTTCGTTGTGCTGCTGCGGCTACTGTCACTGCCGAGAGCCCCCCCGCCCGCTATGGGCTCTTTTCGATCTCAAATTACTATTTTTCTGTCGAAAAATATCATTTTTCTTTCTATTATTTCCATGTTGTTATTTCTAATGACTCATGTTTTGTTTTTGATTTTAAGAAGGTTGGAATTTTTATTTTTCATTTTATCATTTTAAAATTCAATGAATTTTACTCAGCATACTTTTTATTTGATTTCTCCTATGCCTTCCCCCATTATTTACTTACAGATGAATAAAAATGCACATTTTCTATTTGTATATTCTTAAAATTTATTTATACTTCGTACAAATACCCTGTATGTTTGTGTATGCTAGAAAATGTTTAATTATTCATATTGGTTAGTTGTAAATGGATATCCAGTTGCTTGTCAATGGTGTGTTATTTGACAGCCTCCTGGACTGAAAATAACTATTATTACTCAATGGTTGGTTGGTTGGTTACAATTCCTTGCAGAGTTGATCTCCAGCTACACCTATTGATTGATTGTGAAGGCTAGTGATACTATCTTACTGTGTGTCAACCTTGATTAGTGACGAAAGGGGGCGGTGCGAAGGACGTTCAAACCTGTGACCCACTCACTAGTCGGAAGTCGACGGCCTTAGACCATTGAGAGCTAGCTAACAAGCTGTAGTCTTCTTCATCCGTTGCTGCTTACAAATGTTGACAAATACTGTAACCCTCTGGTCGTCATCTCACTACTTCTCATAGTAGTAATAGCAACAGCAGCAGTATAATGAAATGTATTCAGTCGCCTTCTTTTTGTAGCCTTTTATGCCTTCCTTTTCTGTTGATTACATAAACATTTTTGTAAGAAAAATGCTTATATTGACTAATTATTGATTATCAGTGTTATCATTTCACCCCTCCCCCCTCCTCCATCCTATGCTGTACGTTATTTAAACAGCTCAAAAGGCAAGATAATGATCACAGTTTTTTTCTTTTTAATTTAAAGATTAATTTTGAGGGTCAGAGTGTAATCGTCTTTCTTCTCTCTTCTTCTTCTTCTTTCTCGTCACGTCTTTCTTAATTTCTTGTTTTCATTATGTGTTGCTCATTTTCTCATTTAACCACAGATCCCCCTTTTTTTCAATGTGTGTGTGTTGTTTCTTCTTTAAATTAAATTTATTTATTTATTTATTTAACAGTGGCTATAACTGCGAAGTGATAAATTGAAAATGATACGAATTAAAATTTCCTTTTTATCTCGGATTTCCTGTGACTTAAGTTGTTTTTTGTTTTGTATTTATTGTGTCAATGTGGAAACGACTTTCTTATTCGTCCTTTTTTACCACTTTCTTATAAATATATACACTATATAATGCTAGTGATTTATGAATGTGTTTGTTATTTTGTTTCGTTTAAAACGAATCATTATTTGTTGTTGAAAACTTTTATCTACTAATGAAAAGTAGTTATAATAATGATGTTATTATTATTATCAGTTCATTTAATTTAATTTGTTTGTTTGTTTGTCTGTTTTTGGATGGAATTTCATGTGCTACTTTGAACAGTATACTTTCTATCTATGATGATTATGATTGTAATTTTTTTTATTGCTTTACTTTTAAGATTGAATACATACTATTATTATTATTATTGTCTCATTTAGTTTTTAGAGGAATATACGGCTTCAGCCGAACATCTCCATTGCGTTCGGTTCTCTGCCGATGTTTTCATCACCTGCTCCATATCTACCCACATGCTTTCACCTCCTCCATGTCACCCTTGCACTGATGACCAACTCGCCGCTTCCCATTCGGATTCCACTCGAATAATGACCTGGCGTGTGATGTAACTTGATGGTTTTTTCTCAGAGTATGGCCAATCCTGCTGGGTTGGTTCGCTGATTGCCAGAGATCCATCCCTGTTGGTGATCTTTTCTGGCCGGCCATCTGATCTTGACTGAAGACAGTTGTTGGTGAAGATCTACAATTTATCCAAAGTGGCCTTCGTGACGCGGCGCGGCGCAGTGCCAAGTCTTTGATCCGTATGGTAAGTAGCACTGACTTCACGTATGAGTTGAGAATCGGGATCTTATTTTTCATGCTGAGGAGTGCTGTTGACTTCCACACAAACATGAGAGTAGTGAAAGTTTGCTTTGCCTTCTAGTCGATCGTTGCTTTGATAACCTCATCAGTTCCGTCTGCCTGTAGTTGAAACGATACTTCCCACGTAGGTAGGTAGGTAGGTAGATAGGCAAAGGAGGTTGTTTCTTTCAGATTTCTCCCATTTATGTTGATTGTTGTCTGTTATTGTTGTTGCTCTTGCTGTTGGCCAGGAATCTTCACCACCTCTGTTTTCTCTATGTTCACCTGAAGAAAGGCCTATCTTCTCTGAATACTTCTTCTGACAACTTGTTCCTTTTGAATTGCATATCTTCCAGTTTGTGGGAAATCACACATATATCATCGGCGAAATCCAGATCCTCCAAGTTTTTTGAATGCATAAATATATATATATATATATATATATATATATTTATATATATATAAACTGGTACTGAAACTTTATCAGTAGTATAGCGCGCTATTTATGGATAAAGCCGTGCGTAAGACAATAGGCATTTATTATTATTAAAAAACAGTTTCATTGAAGGAAATTTTCTTTTCGACAAAGTCATCAACTAGGCTGCGCATTCGTGTACTTATATTAAGTGTGTGAGAAAGATCCAGAATTATTTCCAGTCAGAGGTTAAGTAAATAAAATAAATAAAGTGTAATAATCTGGAAGATCGGGTAGAAAAGACATAATAAGATTATAATTACTGAAAAACTTGTCAGTTTGTATAATTAAGGATTAAGGACGTAGTATGAGCAAAATAAGTAGGAAGTTCGGACATATAAAAATTAGAAACAGCATCCATATCTAGTAATTTAGATGAGAATTAAAAACGTAAAAATAATAGTAATAAATGGAAAGTTGGACAAAAATGGTAGTTCGGTAATCACTGTTGGTGGGACTGACTTTTTATGATGGTCACGGTAGGGACAACGGTTGGAATTATTTCTTTTGAACACATGGAGTGAGCTGGAGTTTTTTCGATCGCCATTGCCTCAGCTATTCCTAGATATCTTGATTTCACTCCCTTTGAGATATAGGGATTGGATCAGATCTTGTATATGACTTTGTAGGACTTTTCAAATGGAGCTGAATATCTTGAATTCACACATTTACAGCCTAGTTGATGACCTCGTCAAGAAGAAAATTTTCTTCGCTGCGACGGTCTTTTTAATAATTTCTATGATCCAATGTTCATTTACTATTACGATCATTCCTTGATGAATTTGAATAAAGCAAGAACAGCAGTGGTTTGTTTTTCATGTATTTCGTTGGCTTCTCATCAGCTACTTACAACCTAAACAAATCATGAGGTTTATGTACAGAAAATTTCTAAGACACTTGCGAATTTGTCATGATGTCAGTTGACAGAAAGTTCTGCAATTAGTGAACAGTGCTCAGAAAATCGCTGCTTATATAGCTTTTACACAGGCAGTTCAAGTTTAAACAAAAATAAATGTATGCATACAATGGTAAAGGAGTTACGTAATAAAGACGAGAGGCGCGTAAGATGCTGAGTAGTGACTAGTAAATTAGGTAACAATGTACTGAGTTCAACTCAAATAATAGAAACAAGAGACAAGCAAAGTTGTATTATGTCAGAGGGATGTGGTTAAAGCCAAAGATTACATAATCAAGTGGGAGAAAGAATAAAGACATCCAGTCACCAGGGCAAAGAAAGACTAATAACTGCTGCTACCTGAACACATAAATCTGGTTTTAAGCGTTTGATAGAAGGAGTTCGCTATTTACACCTCATGACCTGTGTCGAGATGTCTGATAATAGTGGTGTTATAAGAGTTTGTTCCCTTGAGACGTAGGCTTTTCGGCAAAAAATTGGAGGTGTGCCCTTCTTTCTGTTCTTCCAATGTAACTGCTCCCGCAGATACACGTAAATTTGTATACACAGTTGGAGTTAACATGAGGAGGGTATCTGTCGACTTTTGAATGCACTAAAGAGCAGGTTGTTTGATGGACGGGAACCAACGTAGGTGCAAGATACAGGCTCTGGCTGGTGACATATTCAATCCTTTATTGATTATGCCTGCAGTATCTTCACCTCTAAAATCAAGTTGAATGAAGATGGGCTTCCTTCCCATTGCGGTTTGTTTGACATTAGAGCCTTCACATCTTCCCTACTTGTTAACGAACCTCTGAGGGTAACGGTTGTTTTTCAACACTTTTTTGAGAATTGTAAATTCTTCCTCCAGTTCCTATGCAGAGCATATTTTTCTCGCTTTATAGTAAAGACTCTTGACTAGTTCTCGTTAATAGCTATTTGGACAAAAACTAATAAAATGTAAGTATTGTCCATTCCATGTCAGCTTTCGGTAAATTGACCTCTGGAGACTACCATCTTCCAGGCGTTGCATGGCAATGTCAAGGAAATGGAACCTTCCATCATTTT